TTGTTGGTTTGTTGTTGGTTTGTTGTTGGCTTGTTGTTGGCTTGTTGTTGGTTTGTTGTTGGTTTGCTTTTGATTTGTTGGTTTGTTGTTGGTTTGTTGTTGTTGTTGTTGCTGTTGCTGTTGCTGTTGCTGTTGCTGTTGCTGGTGCTGGTGCTGGTGCTGGTGCTGGTGCTGGTGCATGGGGGTGGTGGTGGCTGTGGGGGTGGCGGTGGCGGTGGCGGTGGCGGTGGTGTGGGTGTCGGTGTCGGGGTCGTGCTGGTGTTTGTGCCACCGCTGCCGCTGCTGCTGCTTCTGCTGCCGCTGTCCGCAGAGTGCATGAAGTTTATTTGGTTCGAGTGCTTTGAGTTCTTTGCCGTCCTCGTTTCAACTGTCAGCATCAGCAGGCTGCTTGAAGAAAGGGAACTTCAACATCAGTCGTTTCTCTCCCGGTTGCTGTGTTGCTTTGAAGTTGCGGCCCCGCAAGCTTTAACGGCAGATTTCTGTGTCCAAGCCGAGTTGCTTCGAGACTTAGCAACGACGCGGCAAGCTTCGAAACAACGGCAAAGTCCGAATTTGACAGCTACGACCGGAATGTGCCGTATTGGAACCGCTCGATGTTACCATTATCAACTGGCGGCCTTGTAGTTAAGGGGTAACATTTGCGAAGGTTCGGCAAAACATGTCGTTGACAAGTGTTCCGGCGCATGCTCCAGCAACAAATCTACCGCAAACGCTGCCCTTGGTTGTTTGGGCGCTTGTGTTTGTTCCTTCTCTCATTTGTGTTTGTGTTTCTTTTCTCTTGGTAAGGCCATGCAGGGTGCACTCGCACCAAGAGTACATGGCCAACCACAAGTTCCGTGGTTGGTTCGACAAGGGTGACGATGGTGGCTCAGGATGGTCGATATTGAACAGGGAAGGCAGGTCAAAGCACCGGGGCGTTCCCATTTTCAATAATGCAGCTGCAGCTCAGAGAGGCTTGCACAACTTGTATGAGCGCCTGCACCACAGGGACACTCCTGATTCTGAGCTTGTTCGTTCGCTAGGCTCGTTCTTGCAGGTCCTGAGGAGACGACCAGTATCACAAGGTGACTCGGACGAGGAAACGCTCACTTTGAGTCATGAAAGCACGCAGGCCCCTTTCGAACCCTTTCGAAGACAGAGCTCCGGCCGTGGACGGACAGCAGGGATGGGCAGGACCCCTGGTACACCACGGCGTGGGCTAAGCGAGCCTCCTAGTGAGACTCGGCCACGGAGTAGTGTTGAGCAGAGCGATTCCTGGGCCTGGGAGCTCAACGACGCTTGCGAAGCTAGGGGCTCTCATTCTTCGTGGGAGCACGCCTCGACACACGTCAGCTCATCAGCGCGGTGTACGTGGGCTGGACAGCAGGCTGCTCAAGCAAACAGAGGTGTTTGGGACGGCCCAGGTCCCCCAGATCCTTGGAGCAGAGGTGGTTGGGACCGTCCAGGTCCGCCAGATCTTTGGAGCAGCCGCGCAGGTCCGTCAGATCCTTGCCGTGCAGGTCCGCCAGATTCTTGGAGCAGCCGTGCAGGTCCGCCAGATTCTTGGAGCAGAGGTGGTTGGGACCGTCCAGGTCCGCCAGATCTTTGGAGCAGCCGTGCAGGTCCGCCAGATCCTTGCCGTGCAGGTCCGCCAGATTCTTGGAGCAGCCGTGCAGGTCCGCCAGATTCTTGGAGCAGAGGTGGTTGGGACCGCCCAGATCCCCCAGATGGTTGGAGCGGAGGTGGTTGGGACCGCCCAGATCCCCCAGATGGTTGGAGCGGAGGTGGTTGGGACCGCCCAGATCCTTCAGATGGTTGGGATCGCTGGAGCTGAGTAACCTCGATTCATAGATGGTCTTTGCCAACGAAGGCATGCAAGCTCATAGAATCGTTGGCCGTTCGAGGGCTGATGCTGCCTTGCAACTTTGCTTGTGTTTCATTACGTCATTACGCGCCAAATATGATATGCAAGCTATGACAAAAGCACGGAAGAAGCGATCATGATTGGAGCGAGATTCGTGTAATCTGTAACTTCCCTTGCTTAGCAAGAGCCTAAACCCCAAATCCTATAGGCCCTGAGCCCTAAACTTGCCTAAACCCTGTGCTTGGTTTCCTGCCAAAACCTGTTGCAGTCGATGGGACGAGCAGAGGCCTCTTCGAAAACAGCCATGCTTTGAGCGGCAGCAGCCCTAATCAAGTCGCTGTTCGAACAGTCAAATCTTCGGCGCAGGTCGGCTGCCACAGCAACCGGACCAAATGAAGTAATGATTCATCCCCTGTGCGTTCTGAGGACTTCTACTTCCATCCTCTTCCTGACAGCATCAACCCTGCAGCGGTCCTGTATCCTGACATTATGAACTTCCTCGATAATGTTTATGGGCTCATTGCTTCTGCACGGCCGATAACGATATGCTTGCACCCCAACCTAGCCCTCAAGCCTCAAGCCTGGCCTAATCCTCTAGAAAAAGCAGGCCCAAAGCCATTGAGACTCACTTAGGATGCCGTGCGCTGGGGTTCGTTTCAGCAGTGCTGGTCACTGAAACCGAATCAAGCCGCAAGATAACCGGTTTGGGGTTTAGTTTAGGAGCACTTTGCAAAGCCGGGGACAGGGACAATGAAGGTGTGTTCGAATTACACATCCTGCCTTTCAGGAAGCTGAGACGCTACGAGCTCAAGTGGTCGCATGCCGTGAGGAGGTTCGCAAGGGCTGACTTAAATAGTGTTGGACGATTTTGTAACTTAGTGGGGACTGCCTCAATTCCTAGGAAGACTTGTAACGATATTGGCATTTTCCCATGTACCAGTAGTCAGCATTCTGTTGCGATGGCGCCTGCTACAGACCAGACTGCTGCACCCGCATAGCATGACGACGATGACGAGGGTATGTCGAGCTACTGCTCTTACTAGTGTTTTTAGCCGCATGCTCGTGCTTCCAGCAGCCATCGATCATCGATTAGGGTGTTGTAAGCTCAGCATATAGGGTGGAACACATCTATGATTCAGCGGGTCCTTCTTCTTCTTATCCTTACCCATAGGCTCCTTAGTAGTTCCTTTTTGGGATTACCTTATAGGATTCTAAATATGAACCATAAAAAGGAACTACTTAGGAGCCTATGGGTAGTAAGTTGGTATAAAGGAAGAGCCCGAGCAGAGCGGTACCGGGTGAGGGTCTGAAGTAAAATCAAAGCCTAGGAGGCAGGGCGTGTATCGGAGTCGTCGTAAAACCTGGATGGCTGGAAGCACTTTTGTAGGTTTTTAAGCGTTCCGAGACGTGTAAAATGTGTTTCGGATTATTGCGGGGCAAGCACGCTCATAGTGCTAGTCGGAGCGGTCGTTGCTGAAAATATTGAGAGCCTGTCCCCAGACTTCGTCCATACCCGTGCAACAGGAAGCGAAGTAACACAACCGACAATTGGGAATGCATTCGCTCACCGTTGCATGTCGGATATGTATAGTCCTAGTATATTCAGATTCGTACGTACCTTCTTACCTACACCTAGATATCTGGATAAGTAGATGGGTATACTGTATACAGATGTACATAACAGCATCTGTCGTCTCGGCCGTAAACTTATCCCATCAGTTCCCAGCCCTGAGCCCTCAACCCTAAAAGCCGGCTATGCCACGCCTACGAAAGAGTTACTGTAAACCCTAAAACCCCCGAGACCAAAAACACCCTAAACCCTGAAGCACGCATACAGATTCCAAACCCTGGACTATATGCCAGGCCTACGAAATGCGGGCCCGAACGGCTGCGGAGGAGGTTCGAGGAGATCGCACGCGCGAGGAAGCGCAGGACGGTTGAGCTTTTTGTAAGGGCCATAGATATTTGAATCAGGTTCCTTTTCAGGGTTGGTTTTTGTTAAGCACGCCTAGAAGAGTTCTTTATGAGGGTCCTTCCTTCACAATAGGGGTTGTAAATGGCTTTAATTTTTCTGTTACTATGCGGGTTTTACCATAAGGGTTTGAGGGTTGAAGTGCCTTGACGATTAGAACAGGGTATTTTGAAGGGTTTTATGCAGGTTTCCTAGAAGTTTGCCAGGTTTTGCTGCTTTTGCGGGTTTGGGGCTCCAGCCATCCGGATCCGATGTGCTTTCTCTGAAAGATCCTGGTCATCGTCGAACCCTCGGCGCATGGTCTTTCCCTAAGACTCCGAGTATACAAATAATACCCACTTTGGGGTCTAAAGTCCAATAAATGGTGCCTACTTTGGGCTATTTGGAGGGAGTCTTAGGGTTTAGGGCCTAACACCCAAAACTCTGCAAATCTGGCAGGGGCAAAAAACAGAAAGGTGAAGCAGACAAGGAGTGAGCTTGAAGGCGTGGCATCAGAAAACCCTAAACCCTAAACCCCTAAACCCGAAACCCTAAACCCCTAAACCCGAAACCCTAAACCCTCAAATCCTAAATCTTAAAGCCCTAAACCCTAAACCCTATTCTGTGGACCTCGGAGCGGAACCAACCAAAAAACGGAACTATCGCTTTTGTTCGACCTCTTCCTGTGGTCGCTGCTGTGGTCGCCCCTTTTTGAGACGGTTTAGGGTTTAGGGTTTAGGATTTCGGGATTAGGGTTTACGGTTTAGGGGTTAGGGTTTAGGGTTCAGGGTGATTGTAGTGAGAGTTTGGTTGTACACTGTTGTACACAACCTCAACTCAAACCCGAAACCCGCGAACTCTTATAGGCCCTAAACCCTGGGTGAGCGGTTATTTGCTTAACAGCATGTTCCGAGTCCAAACCTAAAACGGCTCAACCCAAGCAAGCTGCGGCTCTTCGGGTTCGGGGGTCCAGGGTTTAGAGCTTATAGAGCTTATGGTTCCGTTGGGGCTTGTTGTTTAGGGACACCCCAGGAGCCTATAAAAACCGACCCTACAAAACTCCTGATGGCCCTAAACGCCCAGAATAAGACCCTTCGAAGATGCACGTGAGACCCTACGAAGCGCCAACGCCCAGGAGATTGTGGAAGCTGTGAGGCGAGAGCGCGCATCCCAGGCCGGGCGACGTCAAAGGGCTTAGTCTTCGGGTCATAATGATATGTATGTATGTATGTATGTATGTATGTGTATATATATATACATATACACATGTATATATATATATACATGGTGCTTATTTTGATATTTCTACGATTGTTATAGAGACCCTTACAGGCTTCCAAAGAGGAATCCTGTTTGGAACCCTCTAAGCTCGAGTTGACCAGAGGCAGAGCAGATGGCTGATCTCCGGAACTCCGAGCGGGAGGCCTTAGAGCAGTCGCAGGACCCGAGTCCGAGGTTTGAGGTTTAATTAGACTAGTCTTCAGAACAGTAGGCTTTTTTTTTTTCATGTTTTGGGCCAGTATGTTCTTTGCCTTCGGGGGTTTAGGTCCGAGGTTTGAGCATTTTTTGGGTTTACTGTATGTGGTTTTCATGGGGTGTCATGCCGGGTTTTAGAGGAGCTTTAGGCTTTAGTGTTGTACATATATATTTTATTTATTTTTGTTTATCTAATTATATTTAAACTTATGTAGTGGTTTGTGCTGCATGTCGCATGGACGACGCTCCGGACGATCTCTCGTAAAGAGCAACTAACCACACCGCTTCCATGTGATGAGCAGGTTTACTACAAACCCTAAACCCTAAATCCTAAACCCTAAACCCGAAAAATCGAACACCTGTCGGGCTTCTCTTCTGCGGCCTGTAGGCCTGCGTCTTAAGCAGTTTCCACTGAAACGCACCTCGTTCAGAGAACGGTTTGGGGTTTCGGGCTTTTGGGCTTTAGTGTTCAGAGGTTTTGGGCGTCCAGAGTCCTAAGAGTGCTCGGTGGAGATTTATGGCATGGGGCTTGAGATATGGGCTTAGGATACAGGCAGACCGTAAGGTGCCAGCGTGTCATGTATGGCGACTCATGACTAAAAAGATAGACATAAGGGGCTCAGGGGGTTGTCTCTGTTAGCACAGTGCCTAGCACGCGAGGATCTGCGAGAACGCCTGGAGCATGTGTCCTGGCTACCCTCAAAATTATCTTTGAGGGTCTTAGGGTTCAGTTTGTGGTGAGGTTTAGGATATTGGGCTTAGGGTTTAGGGCTTTCGATTTAGGGCTCAGGTGTGAGACTGGTGATTTCGGTAGTTCTAGCCCCAAACGGCCAAAGGCCGACATGGTTCGCTTACACACACCGGGACTTGGGCAGGAGTACCTCAGAGTGGTTTTAGGGATTACGGTTTCCTAAACCCTAAACCCCGCAACCCCTTACCCCTAAATCCAAAACCCAAGCAGTTTTGGGGAAGAGGGTCTATAGGGCTAAGTTTTATACAGTTTACAACTACAGGGTTCCAAGTTTCACAGGGTGGCAGTTGCAGGGTAGTGAGAGTGAGTTGTCACAAAAATGTCGGACCCACTGAAAGCGGACCCAACTATGGAGCATCGCAACCTGGCGCCTTCAGATTCCCTATGTTCCCAGAGAAGTATCGAGCCATAAATTCTGAACTTTATGCCCCTACGAAGATCCCACAGAAGTAGGATCCCCTTCCGCTGAGTTCACATTCATGTTGTGTTCCAGACCCCCCCCCCCCCCCGNNTAAACCCAAAGCCCTAAACCCACCCTGAACCCTAAATCCCTAACCCCCCAAAACCCAAAACTCTAAACCCTAAACCCTAATCCTTCCCACGAGGCCCTGTCACAAGTCGACCGCCTCGAGGGCTCCAAGCAGAATGCACTGGAAGACCTCCGCAACCTGTCTTTCTCGCGTGCCCACATACTTGTTCATTTTTTAGGGTTTAGGGTTTACTTTATTCTTTTCGGGTTTAAGGTTTTTTTTTTCTTTTAGGGTTTACCCTCAGGGTCCAAGTACCCAAATAGACATACTTTCGCCTTAAAGTCGTCCCTATTTAGGTACTTTAGGGCCCAAGTATATACTATTTGGGTACATGGACCCTTAGGGATAGGCTCCTAAGTAGTTCCTTTTCATGGTTTACATTTAGAATCCTATAAGGTAATCCCAAAAAGGAACTACTTAGGGGCCCATGGGTAACCCTGAGTTTAGGGTTCAGGGCTTGGGTTTTGTCCCGGTGCTTTGGAGCAAGAATGTGCTTTTTCTGTCGAAAGGCATCGTAGTTTTTACGGTCCAAAGTTAAGCGGTATCAGGGATTGAAACATGTGTCGGAAGCAAGAACCCTTTCTTCGTAGCGGCTCTATGCGATTACAATAAAGGCAAAGGGTCTTCTAGCAGCCCTTAGAAAGAAGTGTTGTCTGTTTGTTTCACATGTCAGGCTTGCAGGCAACGGTTACTGCCCAATAATGATGGGTACGTGTGTCTGCAAACAAACCCCAGCACCTGAAACCCCTGCAACCCTAAACACTGAAGAAGCTCCAACCACAAAATCCTAAACCCTAACCGCCTCAACCCCCACCCCTAACACCTGAATTTCGGCATCGACGGCTTACTCAGGGAGCCTAAAAGCTTAAACAAACGCACACCCAAACCATTTCATTTGTATGGCTAGGACAAGGACCCTATACTATTGAAGCATATTTGTATTTGTATAAGCGAATCTAACCAAGATCTACATTTGAACTCTCTTTGACAGCAGCGTAATGCGTCTATGTGTATATGCATGTATGTATGTATGTATGTATGTATGTATGTATGTATGTATGTATGTATGTATGTATATATGCATATATATATATGTATGTATGTAGACATATGCTTCTGTGTTCGCTTGTTACATGTATTTACATCTACATTTGTGTCTATCTTATTTTGAAGTTTACATCTATTTATTTGTATTATGTTTCTGCCGTCTTACAATTAGGACAAGGTCTTGGTGTATAGTATATACAGATTGGTTTTTGAGCTGTAAGGGGGCACTGTAGCTTGCAACAGTGGTTGGGGCAGAGGAAACTTGCTCAAGGTGTATCCTGAATGCGGGCGCTACATCGCCATAGATGGACCCGATCTGTTCACAGGCGATGTGCCTGCACAGGCCTCGTTGCGGACGCAAAGAAAGCTCCAGACTTGCTCAGTCTTGGATCCTGGAGACGGAGTCAGAGCTTACTCCTGCGATCCATCTATACCTCCGGCTCAACTGACCACAGAGGAGCAGATCAGAATCGATTGGGGTGTTGGTGAACTGAGCAAACCGCCACAGCATGTCCATCTCATCGCATGGGACATCGAATCGACATACGATCCCATGTGCGACGAGTGGGCCCCAGCATAGGAGTCGAAATGAATATCCAGTAGTACCAATTTTTTTTATCCCTCCACTAAGTTACTAGTCCCTAGAGCATGCCCCAACGCCTTGTGATCAAGGCCCCTAGTTTAGGATTGATTGGGAGTGCTCAGTGGCATTATAGGGTTGCGGAGGACGCTTAAACTCATGCAGCAAGGCTGATCTAAGTTTAGGCTTTACCTACAGGCTCCATTGTAGTTCCTTTTTGGGATTACCTTATATGATCCTAAATATGAACCACAAAAAGGAACTGCCATGGAGCCTATGGGTAAGGGTTTTTAGGGCTTCGTATGTAGGGTTTAGCGCAGCCGGCCCGTTTGCTAGAAGCCCGTCTTGGTGCCTCAACAAAACCGAAGAAGCCCTCTGGTTACTCTAGTTCCTTTTACCCTGCCGGGTATACACTTATCCCCAGACCCTAGTGCCCCGCAGCCCTCAGCACACTGAGCCCTAAACCTGAAGCCTGAAATGAGCCCCAAACTACAACCCAGCTAGGATCCCTTGAGGCAGCCTGCAGACCGAGCTTCAGGAAGCTCGGGAGAGGAGCGAGGAGCTGTCCAAGGCAGGGGCTCAGAGCGCTTAGGACTTCGGGCTTTAGGGCTTTAGGGTTTGAGGGCCTTTGGGTTGAGGGCTTATGATGTACATGTACACTTTTTTTTGTTGTGGGCCGGGGGCATTAGGGATTTAGGTCTTTAGGGCATGTCAATCAACCCGATCCTGGGGACATTCACTTGCGATTCTGGTGCTTTAGAACCTGGTTTAGGGTTTGGGTTTAGGGTTTAGGTTTAGGCTTTAGGTTTAGGGTTTAGGATTCAGAGTTTAGGGCCCTACTTGCCCGAGCTTTCATCTCAGAGGTATGCACCCCGCTCTTTCCAGTTTCCAGGCCTCGTTTCGAAACTCCAGACTGGGTGTAGGATTTAGGGTTTAGGGTTTCCCTGAACCCTAGGTAGCCTGCCTGTTTTGATTCCGTAACATGATTTCCGTATATGCTTGATGAGTTCTTAAAGAGGTTGGTGCTCTAGGGGGTGCTCTGGGGTCCAGGTAGAGCTTTTGGAAGTGGCAGTTCATAAGAGGCAGGTATGGTTTTAGGGTGTAGGAACGTGACAGATACTTCAGCTCAACTTTAGTCAGAGGAAACTACTGCTGCTACTACTACTACTACCCTTCGTCGACATCTACGATTCATGCTAGATCGAGCCCTGAAGCCCACGGAGACGTAATTGGGATCCCGAAGCTCGAGACCCTCATGGCCAAGATCTAAGCCTGCACCCTTCGGTCAGGAAGACCTTGAGACTGTCTTTTGGGGATGTACGGGAGAAGAGAAGATGGGGTTGTTCTGCCTCGGGTTTCGGGGTGTTATTGTTGCTATTATTAATTGTATTATTATTTGTTATCATTAGATATTTTTATTATTATTAATAGTAATATTATACTAATAATCTCGGGGTCCGAAGGATTTCCGATTCAGGGATTCTTGGGCCAGCAGGCCGAGATCCAGCTAGAACGAGCTCACCATGAGCAGGCCGCTGGCTAGGGTTTAGGGTTTAGGGTTATGGGGTAAGCAGGGGGTTTGGGAAGAGTTGGAGTTGTGATGTAATCTAGGTTTGTTTGCCAGCACTACTCCCCAAAGCACTAATCAAAGTCATGCATGACAGGGACATTTCACGTATAGCATAGGATGATCTCAGCTGATGTCAGTCAGCAGCAATCGGCTGCTGAGGTTTGACTTTGATACATGATGCAGGATCGTCGTGTCACAGGAGCTGTTTTAAGCGCCGGTTTCCATTGAAATACATGCCTTAAACCAAGACTTCCTAGACAGCTTTCCGGTCTGATCGATGTTTAGGCGTAAGCCCTGAAGGTTTCAGCTCCGGGCTGGGGCTTCGGGCACGAAGTTGCTCAAAAGTTCACGGGACGAAATTCGATGACATCTGGTCTAATTGCTCAGGTAGCTAAGACGCTTAAAGGTAGTCTGGAAAGGTGCCGCTTTAACGTTGATGAATATGTGGGCAACAATGAACATTTCATTGGGGTCGAAACCTTGAAGGGTTGCAGCACATGCCGAGAGAGAGAGAGAGAGAGACATAAGTATCCGTAAATATCTTATATATATATATATATTGTCGATCAGCCTATCTACCTATGTATCTAGCTAGCTAGCTGCCTGGCTTTATAAACATACAAATCGTTCAGTTACAAAAATATATACCGATGTCCACGAACCTTCACATGTTCGGACAATCGTTTGCTTCCTGTTCATAATATGCGTTTGAATCTATCGGTTATATACGTGTCTACCCGACTATCTACCTGGTTGTTTGTCTATCGCTTCGTTAACCTGGTTACACACGCACACATCTCCCTCTGTCTATGTATGTATGTATGTATGTATGTATGTATGTATGTATGTAGGATGCGCCCGAATCGGACAGAGTTCCTCGAACAGCGAAAACAGCGATGTATGTATGTATGTATGTATGTATGAATGAATGAATGAATGAATGAATGAATGTATGTATGTATGTATGTGTGTATGTATGTATGTATGCACGCATCAATGTGTGCACGCATCAATGTGTGCACCTATCCCCAAGAGGGTGGAGATGCAGAACAGGATTCCTTGTGGTGATGTTCCCCTGAGTCTTCGTTTTGCGCGCGATGACAATAAGTTCTCAAGTTCATGGCTGTGGTCATAATAATTGCAATCATGTCGGTAGTAGCCGAACTCGTAAGACCTGCATGAACAGGCTTCAGTGTCAGTGCCTTGTTAGCAGTCTTTGCCTTCAATGCCCACCTACTGCGCCATCTCTTCTTGCGCTTCTCAGTATCATCAGAGTCAGCATCGCCATCCCAGCAAACCCCGTCATTTGTTTAATGTCGGATCCCATATACCCCAAATCCTAACCCCGAAAGCCCCAAACGATTTTGGCCCCTCAAATCGGCCCTAAGCTCTAGACATTAGGGTTTAGGGTTTAGGGCCGAACCAACGATTTTGTTCGGAGGTTCAGGCTCTGCAGCAGCAGGAGCGGGCCTTAGCATCTCAGTTGGCTCAAGAGCACAAGATCGTGTAAGGGTTTGGGCTTTAGGGCTTTAGGGTTTTAGGGTTTTAGGGTTTCGGGTTTAGTTTAGTGTTCAGGGTTTCAGGCAATCATGCAAGGCCCAATAAGAGTTGATTGGGGGCTTGGTGTAAGAGTGCAGGACGAAGTAAAGGGCCCCTATGAACGAACAAAAGCTTTGCAAGGGTGGAAGAGTTTTACGCAGTTGTTGTTCAAGGGTTGTTGCAGGGTCTTCTAGGGCTTTATCCGGGTTTTCTCCACGTTAGCTATGAGTTTGCGATCATTGTCCCTGTATTCTCTAAAATCACCCATACTCCTATGGATACTTTAGAACCTAGAACTGCGACTGCCCATGCCCGAGTACCTAGTTTTTTTAATTGCATGTTGGCATCGGTGATCAGTGGAGTGAGGAATTGGCTTGTAAGTGGCCCTATACATATG